AAAACATAACATGCACATACAGAGAGAAAGTACATATGCACAAATGTTTGTTTTAGTTGCCTCATATCCATAATTAGCTAATCGAAGAGTAGTATAAAACGGGGCATCTAAACCAGGCTTTTTCACGCATCTGTAAATACGACATGTCCACATCCACACAGTGAAAAGTGTTTCAAAACGGAGTTGAGAGGGAACATGATCAGTTTAATGGAAAGTTTTATGGCATAAGCAGTAAATGTACCTTCCAGGAACAAAAGTAAAAGAGCCTTCAATAGATCCTTGGGGTGCCGATAAAGGTGTACAACTCTCGTAGACAAACTCTTCTTCACCAGGACGTAGTAGTGGAAACTGCAGGTACACAAATTAATTATTATATTAGTCACAAAATTATAAATCACCAAGTGAATAGCAAAGTGAACCGACTAAAGACGTCAATAATATCGGTTTTTTTTTAACAATGAAAAAAAATAATAATATCGTTTTTTAACAGAGGTCATAACCAAGATCACAAAAGAACTATACTCGCACTATTTTCATATACACAGGATAGAAAATGCGGTTTTTCTCCTTCCAATCAATAAACGTTTACCAACTACTAGTGCACTCACATCATTCAAATTACTCAACCCTCTGATCCAAGTTAAACACATCACAAGAATGATTGTGCAATTTTTAAAAAATTACAATGTGTGATTTTCATGCGTTGAAGCAGCAAGATTCTAGGAGTAAGAAAGTATGAGTTATAAATTGGTAAGGTGCTCACCTCCTTGTAGTCCCAATTCCATTATATATAAGAATTCATCTCTTCGAGGAAAAGAATCAGAAAAGTGCATTAAAAATGTTGTCAGCCAGGAATTTTAACTAAATTTGAAAAACCTAACAAAGACAGCACAACGAAATGAGAACTGCCTATCAACTGCAATAACAGTTTCTTAAACAATACCAGTAACTAGACAGACTCCTTTGGAAAACTTTTACTGACAATAATTTTTACGTTACCAACTCCGGGTACAGATGTTAATTCTAGTTCAGTCTAAAACACTCCACAGTCACAAATAAACTATAACCCTTTAGCCATTGTAGAGTGACTATGACTTTAGAGGTGCTCACACACAGTAGAGAACAAATCATCTTATCTTGGAAAGCTTATGTAATGCATGAAAAAACCAACCTTTCCTATCACAGCTTCTCCATTTATATCAGAAACAACAACATCACGAGAGCGTATAATCCAGTGCCTCCAATGTAATTGGCACGAGCTGAATGTTAGTCCATTGATGATGCAACCATCAGGAGAAAGTGACAGGCGAATTGAATAAGCAAACAAAAACCTCTCTGACTCATCCTGAAGGTTACTGAACTCAGGCACAAATGCAGCAGAAGCACGAACCTTGAAACAAATGAAAAATCGGACAAAAATAAAATGCCATATGTGATTGGAGAATAGCGACAGTGAAATCATGCAAATTCATCAACATAACCATTTCATATTCAGAAAACTGGAGTTCACGAAACTAGAAAAGAATTTCCTGCATGTAAAATTACTCACTAGTAGTAAATAATGATACAACACTATTTTACATCTTCTCTAGAATTATAACACATCATAACTCTGGAGTTTCTTACACACATGCCATTAGCTACTCTTCTGAAGAAAAATCAGCAGGTCGAAGTGAAAAATTATTGATTTCAAAATGTATCGTCTATCTGGGACAAAGTGTCAAATGTCGAACATAACTTTGTAAGTTCCAATCTTATGCATCCACCAATGCACACTTAAAACAAGTTTAAGAATAGTTCTTTTATCTCCAGTTTTTGGAAATGCCATCACCTCTATCATGAAGTAGGGAACTGATTGATTACTATCAAGAAAGCAACCGTAGAAGCATTGATACAAGTGAGCATGTTCCACTAAATGGGTCAAAAAAATTCAAGCATTGCGGAAGACTACAGGATCTTTTCCGCTAATGATGTGTTCTGTACCTACATTGTTACCTCGTACGTAAAAACTTGAATAACACATGTTCTAAACTTCATGCAACTCAAAAAAAATGTTTTACCATGAAGAATTCCAACATTTTCTTCAGCGAACTTGGAGGTTATATACAAACTAGAAAATTCATCATATGGGAAATACAACAACCTAAAAGAGCCCACCACCAACCAAAATTCTTTCATAAGGCTGCAGCCAATCAACTTGAAAATACAATTGATTAGCTTATGTCATCGTTAGGATATCTAAAATACTTGCACAAAAACTGCAAAGAGTACCATAATTAACCGGAAAATCTCCAGATAGATTCAGACATATGCCAATGCTCAAGCCAGACAACGATACTCCACACAAAGCAAAACAAGCTACACAAAAATGAGGAGCCATGCTATTAGGCAAGCCGAAATAAATTCAACAGCTACCTTAACCCCATTCGTCACAGCGGAAGTGCAGAGAGGTGGCAGCTCAGGGAACAGATTAATGCTTCTGATTTTTCCCTCTTTGCGTACTTTAATGATTCCATTCTGTAAGCGACGGCCATGCTCTTCAAGCCACAACAGCATTGCATCTTGCTGCTGATCGCCTTCAGTATCACGCGCACAATTTATTAACGCCTCAGGCACACAAGGCAGCATTTCTCCCTCCGTCACAAGATTTCTCGTGCCCACAAACAGCTGCCCACTGCTGCAGTCGAAAAGGAATATCTTCTCGCTGTAAGTAGCAGAGGCCGCCACTACAACATACTTATATCTTGACCCGAGCTGAGGCATAATGCTCCGAGTGTCGATCATAACTTGCCTCAAGGGTAGCAAGAACACATTCACAAGGTGATCATACAGTGTGTAGCCACCAATGATACCCAATAGGCTCGAAGGTAAGCCTCCACTAAAGTGTTCACCCGGTAGCTCTTGACCATCGCAAAGTCGGTACAGGACACGAGTAGGAAGAGGCAATTTTACTTTCATAGACTTCTCGAACTCATCAATCTCGTCTTCAGAAGCGCCTGGGCGCAGAGTCGGTAAAACCTCCGGGAAGTTGGTAGCTAACCAGTCCTTGAGTCTGCCCCAGCACCTTTTAGCACGTAGGACAAGTGGCCAGGGGTACAAAGTGAATTCTTCTCTCCATGATTGATATGCTGCCTATATATGAAACGTGCATTGACGTTTGATTAAGATAATTCAGAGAAAACACCAACTTTGATGAGAATTGATAATACCTCAATGACCAAGTGCAGATACCGATAAGAAATAAACACACACATACACACACACACACACACACACAAACATACACACACGCCAAGCCCATAAAGAAAAAAAAAATAAAAAAAAAAAGAAAAACAACAAGAAACAGGGAGAAAGACCTTGAAAGAAGGTGCTGTATTGCCGTTGGGATCGAGCGGAGAAGAGAGATCGAGATCGTGGGAGCAGAATTGGGCCCAAAGGGAATCTTCGGAGGCCCAAACCCGGAAGCGCTGGTTGAGGCAGGAAATCGAGGCGGCCTCCAGTGGCCCCAATTTGGAGAGGATTATGTGCATCGCCAGCCCACCAACGCTCTCCAAACCCATTTTTGCCGTCCTTTGACTTCACCGATAGGTTGTTTTCCCAGTGATTGGTAAGATCTAAGTAACATATAATATGTCGGTGCTACACAGATTTCAGAATTGAGTGTGAAAGAAGAACTTGGAAATGTCTGAAAATGGCAGATTTGGACTTCCGTAAACGAAATCAGGAAGAAGATGACTACCAAAAAAGTGATAATACGCCTATAGTTGAACGCAAATAATTAGGTGTAGACGTGGCCTGCCGGGTCCGGGCCCGGCCCGGCCCGCCGGGCCACGGGCCTTCAAACAGTCGAACCGCGACCGGCCCGCTAGAAACGAAGGGCGGGTTTATAGAACCGGCCCGAACCGCCGGTTCACCGGCCCGGCGGTTCACGGGCCGGTACGACCCTTAAAAAAAAGCAAAATCGGCCCGGCCCGGTCCGCCGGGACAAAAAAAAAACGTGACCCTTAACCGGACCGGATTGGCCGCGGTCCGGTTCTCGAACCCGGCACTATTCATGCCGGTACCGGTACCGGGTCGCGGGTCGGGCCACGGGCCGGGCCGCCCATGGCCTTGTCTAATTAGGTGTGCCCTGACACACCTAGCAAGGTGTGCCAGGGCAGAATAAATTGGACAACAATTTCAATTTAAAGTCACTCTCTTTTTTTTACGTGCGTTCACTCTCGGCCCACGCGCAGAGAGAGGACAAGGTAAGTGAGATAAGGTAAGTATTGTTTAAATGAAATGTGTGTTATTTTTATAGGTTAATGAATTTTATATATCATATTAAATAAATTAAATTATCAACTATATTTTATATTAAAAAATAAAAATAAAAATATCAAAATTCATAATTTTTTATTCTCTACAAATAGAGACCACATTTGATAGATTTTGGAATACAATTAATTTATTATTTTTTATAATTAATTTATGTTATTAGAATATGATGACGCAAATCTATAATAAAATAAACATGTTACATAGTAAGATGAACATGTTATATAATAAGATGAACATGTTATAGAATAAGATGAAAATGTTACATATTTACAAAATAAGGTGAACATGTTGTAAAATAAGATGGATATGTAACATCCCGCCTAATTATTTCTAGAATTTATAAAATCAGAGTAAAATTTTTGCTTTCTATT